TTCTGTTCTAGACAGGAAACTTGCTCTATTTCAGTCTGGAACAGATAGACAACTCAGAGGAACAAACAGGAAATATTGCTTTATTCTGGGAATCCTAAACAATGACTTACAGTTTGTAGAGGTGCATCCAAAATAGGTTTCTGCAATCTGATTGTCCCACAGGTAAATTGACATTAGATTTTCCCCTCTTCTCCCAAGCATCACATGGTGGGGTGATTGTGGAGTCTCCAGCCGTGTGGCTGCATGTGATGGCCAAAGAACAAAAGACTAACCCCAGGCTAGTGTCCAGAATAGTAACCATCCATTTATCCATTCATCCATTCAGTTTTGTAAAGCAAACGAGTAGCATTTATATTACAGGAGTATCATAAATTCCTAAAATTTACACAATTTGTTCTGAATGCTCAAAATATGAGTAAAATATAATTACAATATATCCCTTGGAAAATATTTAGACAGGATAAGAAAGGCATTGCAAAGAAATACTTCTAAGCAATGTATACAAGGCACAAATAATCTGAAACTTCTCAGTTTGAAATAGCTGGGCACACATACAGTATGCCTTTTCCAGTTACATTCTGAGTTGAGCAGCAGCATTAGGCAGAAATTATCTTGCCGGCTCTTCTGTATCCAGGCTGTTATGAACTCTGCAATGGAAAAATACAGGTTTCTCTACCTTCCATGCCTCCTGCAGGGCCAATAATAACTTTGGAAAAAAAAGGCACTGGGCATATCTTGAAAATGATGCAGAGTCAATGGAATTTTCTTAGCTAATTAAAAAAAATAATTGGAAGAGCCTGCACTGAGACTTGTTGGCCACTTCATGTGTCAAGGTAAAACTAGCTGTTTGGTGCTTTCTGCTCTGTTCATTAATGAAGATCATCCAGATACTAGTTGCAGACTACTTGGGATTGGTTTTTTTTTTTTTAAACAAATTTTATTGGTTTTTTAGTTTCTTAAAACAACATATTCAGGACACACTGTGGTGCTGGGGTAATCAAACATCCTAAAACAAAACATATATACATAATACAATCAACACATCATGTATTCCCTCTCTTTTCCCCTCAAATAGCATAGTATATTTAAAATATCCAATTCTAGCTTAAATTTATTCAACCTGAACCTATTTTAAGCTTCATTAATTTACAATACCATAATCAAATTAACTTTAATTAAAAACATTTTTAATTCAAATATTGGGATTGGTTTCTTAATCAGCCAGCATTCTAAGCCAAATACAGGTAGTCCTTGACTTATGACCACAATTGAGCCCAAAATTTGTTGCTAAATGAGACATTTGTTTAGAGTGCTTTGCCCCATTTTAAGACCTTTCTTGCCTCAGTTAAGTGAATCACTGCAGTTGATAAGTTAGTTAACACGGTTGTTAAGTGAATTGGCCTTGCCCATTCACTTTGCTTGTCAGAAGGTTGCAAAAGGTGATCACATGAGCTTGGGACACTGCAACTGTCGTAAATATGAAGCAATTGCCGGGCATCCAAATTTTGATCACATGACCATGGGGCTGCTGCAAAAGTCTAACTATGAAAAATGGGCGTCACTTTTTTCAGTGCCATTGTGACTTTGAGCGGTCACTAAATGAACTGTTGTACACTTTCAACATACTGATGGGAATAAGTGAATGGACTTCAAAATTTAATACTGAAAAGAGAAATTTAAAATTGAATTTGCTGCAGTGGAGACTTACTGAGTGGAGAAACAAGCTTGCCAAAGAAACTACAATGGATGGGAACCAGGAAAGAATAGCATAGAGCAGGGGTGTCAAACTGCCGGCTCGCGGGCCGGATGTGTCACACTGAAACCGCGCCCACTCCAGCTCCGGTAATGGGGAAAAAGTTGCGATACATCGCAACACTTCACGTGACGTTGCAAGTTTGACAATCCTGGCATAGAGGGAGGATGTAAGAGAAACACATAGGCAAAATTATCTGAATGGGAAAAGGAGCTGTAAGAGGAAATAACTAGCAAAACAGGAAAGAACCTATTTTTCTAAGAAGTCATAAAAAAGGGGGCCCAGAATTCAGACAACTGAGCACGTGCAATTAGTTGATTAATATTAACTGACACACCTTGCATGGATTATCTAATTTTAATGTACATGTGATGTATGATTTAGTATGTAACAGAAAATATGTAGGAGGCAGTTGGAAAGAGTGTAACCTCATAGTACCTCTGGGGAATAGGGAAAGAGGAGGGATGTGGCAGCCGGATCATGGTTGTATAAAGAAGGGAATATTTTAGGTTGAAACTTTGGAGAGAACCAAGCTTTGACAGCTTCTCTCCCAGCTTATTGCAATAAACGAAACAAAATGCCTTCACTGTGTCTTGACTGGTTATTGGTCAGGCGAGCTTGCCTCTGGTCCCGAAGGAAAGTGGCCAGGAGCACATAACAATACAATGCAGTAGGTAGCTTAACAATGCCTGAAAACCCCATCACTTAAGTTTCATTCATCACATTCTGCCACACACCATCACTCAAGAACTGTAATGACTGGATTCAAACCCCACATTGATCCAAACTCCAAACAAATCTGACTGGGCTGAAAATCCAAATACGCACTTCAACACTCAATCAACTTTTTTTTTCTCCCCGAGTACAGGCAAGTTCAGGCTAGTTGGTCTGTGCGGAAAAGTTCAACGCCTCAAGAGGCAAAGTTGCAGACACTTTATATCAGGGGTTCTCAACCTTGGCCACTTTAAGACTTGTGGACTTCAATTCCCAGAATTCCTCAGCCAGCAAAGCTGGCTGAGGAATTCTGGGAGTTGAAGTCCACAAGTCTTAAAGTGGCCAAGGTTGAGAACCCCTGCTTTATATCCTCGCTGGGGAACTTCGGAGCACTTTTGAGGATATCCGCCCAGGACCTCCCAATGGCTCAATCATGATTCATACTCAGGTGCAAAGATTTCTGGTGGAGTTTACAGGATTTAGGGCTCTGCGCCTGTCCTCCAGAGAACAAACCGCTAGTGATTCGTTTCTCACAACGGCAGTCCCGACGGCCACAACGCCTGCAGGCACGACTTACATGCGCAAAGTAGAAAGCTCTGTCCGCCGCTTCGGCGCCACCGGCATTTGTCGGAGTTGCAGCCAAGCGGCGCCCCACCCGCCGCACCTGGAAAGCGCCACGAGCTCCCTCCCAGGAGAAGACCGTAGCGGTGGCTGCAGCTGCAGCAGAGCCGCCTGCCAAACAAACAGTGCACGCCAGGCCGCAGCCGCTGCCTCAAAAGCCGGACGCACTCCATGTCTGCCCACCGCTCCCAGGGCTTTGCGCCTCCGAAACGCGCAGCTTCCGGTACCGACGGACATCGAGGGGGTGGAGTTGCAGCCAAGTTCGCTCCGGAGGAGGCGCCTGTCCGCTTCGGCGAGCGGCTGCTGGACGGCGGGGGAAAGGGCGTGCGAATTGGGATGGGTGGAGGGGCGCGAGTGTGGCTGCATACGGCGAACGGGGCGACCCACAAGTGCAAGATAAGCGCCGAGCTTTGTGCACGTAATAAAAGTTGAGGCAGGGCCGGATGAGGAATACATTCAGGCCTTAAATTAAGCGGAGTTTTGAGCCTCCTCCTCCTCCTCCCCCCTCCCAGCATTATAAATAAATGAACAAAATAATAATAATAAAAGTTTCTTTTTTTCACGTGGACTTGGCGATTGCTAATTAATAACCTAGCAAAACGGTATCTTTCAAAAATGCTATTTGCGCTGGAAATATTACTTGAGAATGCATAAGGATACCTTGCAAATTTCGAAGATGCTAAATTTTCGATTCATAAACGGTTACGTAGCACTACTAAGTTAAAAACAAAAACAAAGACTGCTGGGTCGTTTGCGTGCCACGTGTATCTTACTTTTTTGTAATATTTGGAAAGCGAAGTCGATCTCAACTTAGAGACGAAAAAATGTATAATGTTCTACGATAAGACTTTGTGTAGAACTCTTGTACACATATTTAATACAGAAAGCTTTCCTACCATTCTTTGTGATTCAGTGAACAGTTTCAGTAGTTACCTTCCTCTTAAGCAGTGTGTTACCATTAGGCTCAAAAAAGTCCCAACGTGGTTCCTACATTTGGGAAATTAATGATAACTCAGTAGAGATCCTGACACCATAAGTATTTGAATTACTTGGATAATTTTGTGACTGGAATGGGATGCATGTTTCTGGGGCCATGATGATTTTTGCTTTCTGCTTTTCGCTCTGACTAAATGGCAGGCTGATAAGAGCATGGAGAGCATCTATCTTAACTCTTGGTTTGCAGAGAAGGTTTGAGAGATTAAATAACAAAATTTTATTATTATTTGGGAAGAGAATTGTGAACTTTTGTGTTAACTAGTTGACACTTAAAACAGTTGTAACTTGTAACCTAGATTGTCCATGAACTGTCAAGTTATCGGTATAATAAATTCATGAGCAATACAATGCACTCATGTTTTCCATTTCTCTTTCTTAATCTCTACTCTGTGTGTGTGTGAATAGACATGAGATGTAAACACAAGTGTGTTATAGGTGGAGAACAATCCACTTAGATCTCTAAAACCCTGTAAATTATTCTTGTGTAAAAGAACTGTCATTTTGTGTGCCTGCAGCAGGTGGCAGTATGTTAAATGCTTTATGTTAGTACCGGTAGATGTCAGGACATGGTTCTCAAACAGCCCCCCCTCCCAATTAATAGTTTTTGGACAGTGATGTGGGCAGCATATAACTTTAATAAATACATAACAAAAACTATTGTATGGAAAATATTATCTTGAGCCTGTAAATCATTCCTATTACTCTTGAGCACATTCAGTAGAGTTGCACAAATCAAATATTCTCATCATCCATTTTTTTCTTGCCAGAACATATCTAGAAAAAGAATTAGATTAATACCAGACTATTAAAAGAGCATAGTTTCATAGAATCATAGTGTTAAGAGAGATCTTCAATATCTTCCAGACAAATGGTTTGTTTTTTCAGTCTTGACAACTTTAAGATGTGTGGACTTCAAATCAAAAAATTCCCCAGCCAGCCTGTTTAATCCATATATCTTAAAATCTTGAAGGTTGGTCTAGTCTAGACCTTGGTATTTTCCCCCCTCAGACTGATACTTTAACATTCTTTATAGGAGAGTTCTTTGAAGTGCAGCTACATTAAAGAAAATAAATGTGTATTTTTCACAATTCCAATCAACAGCACAGGGAGGAAAGATTGCTGTGGAGAAGGAATTAAATGTTTTCCTTCTCTAGAACAGTTTTGAAACAAAGAATACTGAGCAATATTCATGTGGTGCATTTACCCCTGAATAATTGAATTTGAATTTGGTTTTACTGAAGATAATGTTATGAACTTGAACAATACACTGAATTTCTGTATATAGGTTGAGTTCATACAATACACCAAGAATAGTATGTGATTGTTTCAGCTGCCTATCTCGTTCATTTAATTTCTTTGTACTTGGAGAGATAATTTAAAACACAGGAATACCATTTTCCTGGTTATCTCCTTTCTTTTTGTAGTCTTAGATTGTATTGGTTTTGTGATCTTCTTAAATATACCCCTAGAAAAGTGTGTTTATTTAAAAATAAAACACATAATTACTTTCATTTATGTATATTGCAGCTCTTTCTTATGGGGTACTGGGGCAACTTCTTGCAAAATCCACTACAAACATATTCAGAACACGTTTGCAGCACAGCACTTTAAACATTACTTCTCAACATACAAATCACTGAGAAGCTATTACTAGTGGCACTAAATTCAGAAATAATAATATTCAAATGAAACTTACAGTGGTTGTACCTAGGGATATGTAGATATACCTGTCAATGCAATATATTCATGGCAGTGATTTTGTGTGTGTGTCTCTCTGTGTGTGTAAAACCTCAAAATGGTTGGGTTTATCAGGCAAAACTGATTTTACTCTAGGTTACTTAAAATTGATTTTAATAGATTAACTATCCTTAAGTATTTAAACACTATTTCTTGCCTTCCAAGTTTTACATTATAAACTATTTCCAAACTTGAGTTAAATAGCATGAACAATAACTATAATTGACATAATCTTTATATTTATATATTTAAGAAATGTATATAAATATTATAACATTTATATAAATGGAAAGTGGCTTTATTTATAAACAACTATGAGAGAATAGCAATTCATGGTTTTCAATTGTATTAGATACTATTCTATATACCAGTGATGGCAAACCTTTTAGAGACCGAGTGCCCAAACTGCAACCCAAAACCCACTTATGCATTGTCAGGTGCCGGGTGGGTGTGGCCCATTGGGTGGGTGTGGCCCATTGGGTGGGTGTGGCTGTGGTGGTAACAGCAGACTGGGTGGGACTAAAAAGTTCAATCAATGAATTCCAACTTTGCGAGATCTTTTTTTTTCCCCACGAGAAGTTGAAATTGACTGATTGATTGAACCTTTTTTTTTTTTTTGCACACGGCGGCGGAGACCTAAAGTGAAAAGCTTTCATAAAACCCAGCTGAAGGCCTAGGACTGGGGCGACGGCGTGCGTGCCCACAGAGAGGGCTCTGAGTGCCGCCTCTGGCACCCGTGCCATAGGTTCGCCATCACTGCTATATACCATTGTACAGACAAATTCAAAACTAAAACTGAGCACTGTCAGAAATAACTTTTTCTCTATGTGGCAAAACCTTTCCTCTCCACAGCTTATAGGTTGATTGGACACGAAGCATGGATCAAACTGGGCCATGTTCCTTAGCAGTATTTTTATAGATATTAATTATGGAATAATGTGAACAAATGGTATCTTTGTCTAATACTTCTCAGAGCTGGCTGGGATACTGAGTGCAGCAGCACAAACCTTTAAACGTTGCAATGTGTCCCACTGACTAAAAAAACAAATCATATAAAATTAAAAAGCACACATGTAAGGAATTTGTAGATGAAATGATAATGTCCACTTTCATGTGTATTAATTTAGGACTAAATTGAAAAACACAACTAGTGTTAACCAGTAACTGCAGTACATCAAAAGCTGCTTTACACCAAATTACTTTTTTGGTAATGGTTAACTATCTTCTTTGTAGCTCACAGCAGGGGAGAGTTTATTTTGTTTCCTGAATGCTGAGATAAAAAGAAAGGAAAAATTCCTGAGTGCTTTTATCATCTATTGAGTTGAGCTCATATCTTGTGACTTAACGAACACATCCAAATTTGGAGTTGGGTGGGGGTTGGGCAGCAAAATGGAATTGGTTTGCCATGTGCTTCCTTGGGGATGTGTTCTAAACTTCCCAATCTAGCCTAGAATCCTGGTGGGCCACAGTGGTCTTCCTTCATCATATTACCCAGGCCTGATGTTTCTTAGTTTTGGAGCCTACTTCAGCTCAGCTGATTTGATATTAATTTTGAAACCTAATCACGTATTGCTTGTTAACCACTTATCCAGTTTAGAGTACGAGAAAGGTCCACTGAAGTAAAAATCTTAAGTTGATTTTGAACAATGTATTGCAATCTTTATTCAGAGAGGAGGAGGAAAGTTCATTTATAATATTGAGTGTTTGAATCAGGGGTCTTCAAACGTGGCGCTTTTATGACTTGTGAACTTCAACTCCCAGAATTCCTCAGCCAGGCATGCTGGCTGAGGAATTCTGGGAGTTGAAGTCCACAAGTCATAAAAGGGCCAAGTTTGAAGACCCCTGGTTTGAATACATAAGCTATACTTTTTTTAAAGCATGAATAATCTTGTTGATTCAGAATAATTTTTCTTTTAATTTTAGTAGCATAGTGTTATAATCAGTGCTGCTATGTGTGGAACTACAGTGTGAGGACTTCTGAAATATACATAAGAAAGCTACAAAAAAAAAGGTTAAAAGTATAATTCACCCATATTTTTTTTAAAAAGTATATATTCTTCTATGAATGAATTGCCAATAGATGTAGATTTTATATGGACAAGTATACAGAATTCATATAGAATTCATTAATACCAAATATAGTAGGTTTTGATAGTTATATAATTATTAGAAAATATATGTACTCGAATAATAATTGATATATATATATATATATATAATATATATACACACATATAAAATTGTAACTATATACTGCTAAAATGATACTTTTTCTTTTTTTTCTTTGTTGTATTCAGTTTTTTTAAAAGCACATTCTATGCATTTTGTTTCTTTTCTTTGACAATGTATGTACTTTTATCATAATTATCTTTGTATTTTTTCATTTTTTTGTCTTTTTTAAAAGCAATAAATATATTAACAATGTATTAATTTGCTAGATTAC